AACACCCTCTCTGTACTGAACACTCTCTCTCGCTGTACTGAACATGCTCCCTGAACTGAACATGCTCTCAAGTTGTACTGAACACCTTCCCTGTACTGAACACTCTCTCGCTGTACTGAACACCCTCCCTTGCTGTACTAAACATGCTCCCTGAACTGAAAACCCTCCCTGTACTGAACACTCTCTCTCACTGTACTGAACATGCTCCCTGAACTGAACACCCTCCCTGTACTGAACACTCTCTCTCTCGCTGTACTGAACATGCTCCCTGAACTGAACATGCTCTCAAGTTGTACTGAACACCCTCCCTGTACTGAACACTCTTTCTCTCGCTGTACTGAACATGCTCCCTGAACTGAACATGCTCTCAAGTTGTACTGAACACCTTCCCTGTAATGAACACTCTCTCGCTGTACTGAACACCCTCCCTTGCTGTACTAAACATGCTCCCTGAACTGAAAACCCTCCCTGCACTGAACACTCTCTCTCGCTGTACTGAACATGCTCCCTGAACTGAACACCCTCCCTGTACTGAACACTCTCTCTCTCGCTGTACTGAACATGCTCCCTGAACTGAACATGCTCTCAAGTTGTAGTGAACACCCTCCCTGTACTGAACACTCTCTCTCGCTGTACGCAACACCCTCCCTTGCTGTACTAAACATGCTCCCTGAACTGAACACCCTCCCTGTACTGAACACTCTCTCTCGCTGTACTGAACATGCTCCCTGTACTAAACACTCTCTCGCTGTACTGAACACTCTCTCCCGCTGTACTGAACATGCTCTCAAGTTGTACTGAACACCCTCCCTGTACTGAACACTCTCTCGCTGTACTGAACACCCTCCCTTGCTGTACTAAACATGCTCCCTGTACTGAACACTCTCTCTCGCTGTACTGAACACTCTCTCTCGCTGTACTAAACATGCTCCCTGAACTGAACACCCTCCCTGTACTGAACACTCTCTCTCTCTCGCTGTACTGAACATGCTCCCTGTACTGAACATGCTCTCAAGTTGTACTGAACACCATCTCTGTACTGAACACTCTCTCTCGCTGTACTGAACACCCTCCCTTGCTGTACTAAACATGCTCCCTGAACTGAACACCCTCCCTGTACTGAACACTCTCTCTCTCGCTGTACTGAACATGCTCCCTGAACTAAACATGCTCTCAAGTTGTACTGAACACCTTCCCTGTACTGAACACTCTCTCGCTGTACTGAACACCCTCCCTTGCTGTACTAAACATGCTCCCTGAACTGAACACCCTCTCTGTACTGAACACTCTCTCTCGCTGTACTAAACACTCTCTCTCGCTGTACTGAACATGCTCCCTGAACTGAACATGCTCTCAAGTTGTACTGAACACCCTCCCTGCACTGAACACTCTCTCGCTGTACTGAACACCCTCCCTTGCTGTACTAAACATGCTCCCTGAACTGAACACCCTCTCTGTACTGAACACTCTCTCTCGCTGTACTGAACATGCTCCCTGAACTAAACATGCTCTCAAGTTGTACTGAACACCCTCCCTGTACTGAACACTCTCTCGCTGTACTGAACACCCTCCCTTGCTGTACTAAACATGCTCCCTGAACTGAACACCCTCTCTGTACTGAACACTCTCTCTCGCTGTACTGAACATGCTCCCTGAACTGAACATGCTCTCAAGTTGTACTGAACACCCTCCCTGTACTGAACACTCTCTCGCTGTACTGAACACCCTCCCTTGCTGTACTAAACATGCTCCCTGAACTGAACACCCTCTCTGTACTGAACACTCTCTCTCGCTGTACTGAACATGCCCCCTGAACTGAACATGCTCTCAAGTTGTACTGAACACCCTCCCTGTACTGAACACTCTCTCTCGCTGTACTGAACACTCTCTCTCGCTGTACTGAACATGCTCCCTGAACTGAAAACCCTCCCTGTACTGAACACTCTCTCTCGCTGTACTGAACATGCTCCCTGAACTGAACATGCTCTCAAGTTGTACTGAACACCCTCCCTGTACTGAACACTCTCTCTCGCTGTACTGAACACTCTCTCGCTGTACGCAACTCCCTCCCTCGCTGTACTGAACATGCTCCCAGAACTGAAAATGCTCTCAAGTTGTACTGAACATCCTCCCTTGCTGAACACTCTCTCTCGCTGTACTGAACACCCTCCCTCGCAGTACTGAACACTCTCTCGCTGTACTGAACACTCTCTCGCTGTACGCAACTCCCTCCCTCGCTGTACTGAACATGCTCCCAGAACTGAACATGCTCTCAAGTTGTACTGAACATCCTCCCTTGCTGAACACTCTCTCTCGCTGTACGCAACTCCCTCCCTGGCTGTACTGAACATGCTCCCAGAACTGAACACGCTCTCACGTTGTACTGAACATCCTCCCTGTACTGAACACTCTCTCTCGCTGTACGCAACACCCTCCCTTGCTGTACTGTACTGAACACCCTCCATCCTGTACTGAACACCCTCCATCTTGTACTGAACACCCTTCCACGTTGTACTGAACACCCTCCAATGTTGTACTGAACATCCTTCCACGTTATATTGAACACCTCCCGCGTTGTACTAAACACCCTCTCTCGCTGTACTGACATCCTTCCTCGAATGTCAGAAGTTTATGATAAGATATGGGAGTTACGATCGTCTTAGCGCTAAGATGGCTTTGTGGGACGGGGCCCTGGTCTTGTCATGTTGTGGACATTTGGACGACGTTCTTTCAACAGTATTTTATATTCATCGGAATCTATATAGTCTATAGAGAGTTATCGTAGTTTGAGACACTCTTCTGCCATTTTTGGATGATTCTGTCTGATATATTGTAACATATCTAGTTAACGGGTGTTAAGGGGGTTTCTCAGTAAAAACCTATTGTGTTGTGTCAGTTTCGCGTATGCAACGGTTTTGACCAAATCAATACAGACGTTTTTCTTTTTTGTGGAATATTTAACAGTGCTTTAACCGTTTTAAACGTTATATTTGTAGCATATTTAACATTTGTTTACCCACGCGTTTATTGATTAAACCACTGTGGCGTTGACCTAAACGCTCAGGCTGTCAGCCCCTGGTTTGCCTGTTCAAGACCCGATGACGTGAGACAGATGGAACACACTTGCCGCGTTAAACATTCTCTCTCGCTAGCCAACGTGTCATTCTCAAGACGACCTGTGAAGATCCGGGGTAGAATAGGTCTTCAGCAACCCGTTCTTGCTGTATAAAGGCGTCTATGCTTGTCGTAAGAGGCGACTGACGGGATCGGGTGGTCAGGCTCGCTGGCTTGGTTGATACATGTCATCAAATTCCAATTGCGTGGATCGATGATCATGTTAATCAATGGATTGTCTGGTCCACACTCGATTATTTACAGACCGTCGTCATATAACTCAAATATTGCTGATTGCGGCGTTAAACAACAAAGAGACTAACATTCTCAGTACACTTTCCCTTTAGTTAAGTAAGACTTTAGTTCTTTGCCATGCATTTATTCACAGGGGACTAAAGAAAATACGAAAATGTCAGTGTAATAAGGTTAATCAACAAGCAAGACGAAAATAGAATAATTAGCCTCATTTTTTTCAATTTGGAACCAACTGGGCGAATCCAGATATATCTGCCAGTTATTGTTGACAAAGTGTGTGATCATTCGCAAACACGTGTTCGCGTGAACTATAGGTGCGCGCGGATCATCACACGATAGTAGTTGAGATATTAGGCAGAGATACCCCGACGTCACCAACTGATTATTCAACAAATCTTCACTGACCGGGGTCATGGGCGAACGCTGAACTATAATGGTCATTGTGGGGGAATCTGACACTTTGTATACGTTGGTCAGTATCTGAGTAAAACATAGGCGCAGCAAATACTGATACCGTTATCGGTGTTGATAGTACCGGATTCAAGGATTGACGATAACGCATCAAAGCGCACCTATGCCCACCGTAAGCGCTGTAAAATGGTGTCCATGGGTACCTTAAATCATCCATAATGGGCCGCAACTTCGCTGAAAAGAATTGTTTGGACCTTATATAACAGATACACGGGGCGGTGGCTGGTAGCTTTGTGGTTAAACGCTGGTTCGTCACGTTGATTTCTGGGTGATATGACTGGAATATTGCTATAAGCTGCGTAAAACGTCCTGATTCACAAAAATTAAATAAGGACACCTCGTTTACTTTAGTATTTTGATTGCAGATGCAGCTGTAATTTGATAATTAATGCTTGTGTAGATTATTAGGTCAAGGTAAAGTACGAAAAGACTATTTCATGCTTAATAGTGAAATAATTGATACGTTTGATCAGTTTTAATTAAACGATCAAAATATGCTGTTAGTGCCAAGGACGAGGACTATCACCAAGTCCTTTGTTCGGTCGTGTCATACCAAAATAATTTAAGAGACGATACTTATTGTTACCCTGCCTGGTACTCAGCATTAATGGAATAAAGATGTACACTGTGTCTGAGTGGGGTATCCATGTCAAACTGCGGCATGGGATCTCAGTGGGCTAGCACCACAAGACCGGCATTAGTCCGTGCTAATATTTTTATTATCATTATCATGTTGCGCTGTCTGATTCAGTAGTCAACAAGAATACCCAAAAAAAACCATCAACTTTAGTACCTTGGCTCGTTTAAAATACGTCCGCGTTAACCGTTAGTAATTCAAATAACATGCACACAGTGTACAGATTAATGGGTACGGCGAGGCTATGTTCTACCTCCTATTCTCTTTATAGATAATGTTCAGAAAATATCTATTGCTTGGAATTCACACAGGGGGTGTACACATATACATGAAAGATTTTCCCATATTTTAACTGAAAATATATGGTGTGACACGCTGACATTTCTGTCAATGTCATACACCAAACTGACCTCTTATGCGCATTGGCGATTTCAGCACTCGCTGAACCACTATTCCGCATCTCACTCACGTGACCGTTGTGACAAGATACGACAGTTGGATGCTATATAAACCTACATCAGGCGATTAAAAGACAGATACGGGATCACCGAGACTGACCAGCAACATCTGGCTCTTCATGCTCAGAAGTATACACCTCTTCCTGCTTTGACGATTAGACTGGTTCAAAATGAAGATCCACAATCTGACCGTAGTTTTAGCCGTGGTTCTATTTGCCATCAAACTCAACAGAGCGACAGGTCAGTTGAAATTAGGTTTTACTTTTTTCTGTGTTACTTAAAATGGGTTATAGTCGTTGAGTTTAGTCATCTGAACTTAAACTGCCGGGGAAAAGAAGGTATACAATTATGTATGATGGTGGCTAAAATGAAACAAACAAGAAATGGTTATTCGATGGTGATGCATTTGATAACGTTTGTAATTTTAGGGTCAAATCCAACGTCTATAATTTCTTTTACGGCACTTTAGTTTTTAGTTTTTCAATCTCCGTCATTAACGTCTTTATTCCTCGTCTCCAAGTGCATAAATCAATATTTACATTTGCATTAATGGGCAAAGAAGACGTGACGTGGCCCGAGCCATGTTATTATAACCCGGCCGTGGGTCTAGATCCCGTATTTGCTACGATTATGATCCTTGTTGATCCAACTGTTATTGGGATGGTGGGGTTCGCTCGTCACACAAGGCCGGGGTTCGATTCCCCAAATGGGTGAAGCCCATTTCTGGTGTCCCCCGCCGTAATATTGCTGGAATATTACTAAAATACTCACCATTGATCTGTTAGTACCAGGCTCGTGTTCGTGGGAACGGTACATTTAGTTCATTATGTGATGAGCCATATTCCCGAGGCAAGATTTGTTTGTTGTTTAACGCCGCACTCAGCAATATTCCAGCTATATGACGGCGGTCTTAAATAATCGATTCTGGACCAGACAATCCAGTGAGTGAGATCATGAGCATCGATCCACACAATTGAGATACGATGACATGCATCAACCATAGTTGCCTGGAGAGATAGTGATGAGCTAAGAGTTTACGAGATTAAAACTTAAACTTATTAAACCTATCGAGAAGCTATGTTCTCTTCAAACACGCGATGTATTTAACTGACAAAACCTGTTTTTTTAATATTACAGGGGTGATTTTGGTTTAACGCCGCCTTGAAGAGTATCCCAGTTACATCTCGGCGTTTCAATACTACAACGCAGAAAGCATTTATAATATGCATGGATACATATATTGTATATTTAGTCTTTTGGCGTCTTTTATTAATTTATATATGAGTGGCGCTACACCACATCTATGTATTTATTACTATTTTATGTATGTATATCATGATGTGATGCGGCGAGAGGTAAATACAATATTCGTATCTACAAAACCGTCACTATCTGTATCACTTTCCTCTAACCGTTCAAAGCAGGCCTCGGGGGCACAGGTGGCCCAATCGACTAAGGCGCCGTGATTCGCTGTGCAGAGTTGCGTCCCTTGGGCACGCCAGAAACCTATGATTGTGGGTTCGAATCCCGGTTCGACCCGATTATTCTTCTAGGTTTGTCAGCACCATACCCGTGCTCGTGGGTTTCACCGAAGTGGTAAACGTCTAAGACCTGCATCATTCGGGCTTTCCTCCCACATTAAGCTGACACGCCTTGATATAACTGGCATAATGTTAAAAGCGGCGTTAAACCCAACTCACTCAAAACAGGCCTCACACTCGACCCATTCACTACAATATCATAGGCTGACGACGTTATACAGTAAAACGTATTCTTAACTTAAATTCCTACCACGTGGTTGCCCTAAATATTTAAATAGTCCAAATATACGAGCGAATGAGTTGAAGACCGAAATGAAACGTTTTGGTGTAACGCACGAACATCATTACATGGGTATGGTCCAGGCAAAACAATGAGGATGTTATGGTGATTCGAGCCAAAGATGAGGGGTTTCTGGACGGGCCAAGGACGCAACACTGCGTTTGATTGCAGCGCGTTCGATAATTGGGGCACCCTAAATGCCTGAAAGATGTATCTATTTGATAATGTTATCGATGCGATAAGCCAATCCGATAAACTTGGCATCCCCGTCCGATAAATATGCAACCAGTCTTGCATAACGTTCAGTGGTTTATCGGTGTGTGTGTGTGTGTGTGTGAATGCGAGTGTGTGTGTGTGTGTGAGAGAGATCAAACATGACTTCAAATATATGAATGAAGCGGTTAACGCAGGCATTGTATTCCTACGCCGTTTCTTAAGATATTTTTGTGAATGAAAATGTCTTCAACCGACATCGTATCAAAGCGATTATTACCGTGTTTCCGTTACTTAAAATGCGATATATTGGGTGGGAGGATATGTTCTGCAACCATTACAGTTTTAATGAACGCTCGAGGCACGAGTAATACTCTCAACAATACGTGTATGGCCTTGATTTGTTTGGACAGTGTGCGAGACGGGCGAGTTCCAGTGTTCGGACGGCGAGTGTATTACGGCGGGATGGCGATGTGATGGGGATGAGGATTGTCAAGGGAAGGATGACGAAGTTGGCTGCACATGTAAGTTTATCAGTACACAACAAAGTGTAACAAAACTGTTAAAAGGACAAGGTGCGATAAAAAAGCTTTTTGTCAGATGTCAAATTTTGAAGTTGCGACAAGAGACATGTTCAGTTGGTTCAGACATGCAACAAGCCTTCTAGCTGTAACCTGCACGTTTGGGATAAACCCTTTTATGAAGTTCACAAGTATGGCTAAAATATGCGCAAGTGCCGAATTATCTAACTTCAAAGAGAATATGTAATATTAAGTAAATGATTTCTTAAAATTGTTGGGGATTTTTTAATTTTCATGTCATAAGTAAATCGACTCCCTTTGGGTATTCCGGGTTAGAACAGAGCTTTGCTAATGGGAAGCGAAAGGTCAGGGAAAGTGACTTGGTTGAGCGTAGAATTAACACAAGTTCGAAAGGGTCCTTTGGGTTTCAAGGGGTTGCAGTTATATCACAGCGTCAATTCATAATGTGTAGTGGAAGCCCACAAGTTGTCCAGTTGTTTCTTAACCTTTTAGCTGAAATCCAGATATACGGGTATGTTGCCAAAAAGTTTAGAAAAAAACAAGGGCGCATATAAGATTCTACCCAAAGACATGGTACGCCCAAAGGAAGGCAACTCTACATGGCGATGCTAACTCAATGAAGGCTGGGGGGTCGTGATGCCGACTGAACCCCTAGTTCGATATTTTACGAGCGCTTCCGTAGTGATGTCATTAATATCTGCAACGCAGTTGAGTGGCGGGCGTTGACTGGCGTCTTTTTGTGGTGACCTTACTATGCGTGTGCGCTTTTACGTTTCAATGAAAGGTCCAAAGCTGAAATATCTCCCACAGAAACATGTGTTTTAACTCCGCTTTCAGCAATATCCCAGCAAAATCACCGCTGGGGTATACCAGAATCACACTAGATTTATGGACAGCATAGTATGTATGCCTTGCCGATGCGCATCGTATGACTGTAAATGCTTCTTGTGATTAGGTTAGAGATTTAGCAGATTTCTCCTTTCCGAGTTGGAAAAGGTCTCAAGTATCAAAACGCAAGTCTACGAAAAAGGAGGATCTGTGGACATGCATATCACAAGGAGCCCGAATGTTTTGTCACGAATATTAAAATGGACACTGGAATTGGACTACTGCCGTGTTAAACATTCAGTTCATCACTCAAGCTACTTAGATTTCATCATTTGTTTGATATATGGTTATGTCTGCAAAACAGGTGAAAATACCTAGAGGAACCACTGACAGGTGCGTGAATTCAACTGCCCAAATCTATTGGCGAGACCTGTGAAAGGGATCGGGTGATCAGGCTCGCCGACTTTGTTGATGCATGTCATTGTATCCCAACTGCGTAGATCGATGCTCATGATATCAATCACTTGACTGTCTGGTCCAACTTTTTTACAGACCACCGTCACATAGCCGATTGCGGCGTTAAACAAATAGTTGTGAAGGACTTACGGGGTTATCTCCCTTTATATTTGGCATCCACTGAAATACTCACCAGTAATGAGTTTACTCTCGAAAATATTCATTTTCCCTCAATAGACACCTATTAATTGTTTCATTTGTATGTAGCTGTCGGCAATATTAACTGTTTTTCTTCCTGTAAAGTGTTCTAAAAAACACCATTCACAACTAAAAGGATTTATCCTTTTGCAGACACATGTGGACCAGGTAGTTTCTCCTGCGCCAGCGGTCAATGCATCCCAGAGCACTGGCAATGTGACAATGATCAAGACTGCGAGGACGGCAGCGACGAAAACAGCACTGACGAGATACGATGTCCTGGTAGGAACACTTCACCATCTTGTCAGTTATGGTCTAGTAATTTTTTGTGTTAAAATGGACCAATTGATGTACTACTGAGTGCAAGTTCTTTACATACCAGAAGTTTGTCTTTTGGGGATGGGTCAGACTTGACCAATTGGTGGAATAGGGTATTACCATGTTAATGTTTCAAAATCGTAAGGTTTTTTATATGATTTTATGGGGGGAGGGAGGGGGGGGGAGAGAGAGTGAGTGAGTTTGGTTTTACGCCGCTTTTAGCAATATTCCAGCAATATCACGGCAGGGGGGACACCAGTAATGGGGAGGGAGCGAGAGAGCGAGAGGAGGAAAAATATAGTGTTTATTTTCAAAATCTCAATTTCGAGTACTATGTTCGGATGATGCATGCATTTGAAGATTTGTCCTGCAAAGTCGTCCACCTTAATCAGTATAAGAACTACTGTTTTGTACTGAACAACTGTCAATTGTGTATGAAGGAAACGTATCACTGAATAGGAAACTGAAATAGTAAACTGCCAGGAAATATTTCAATTGACTTGTTGCTTGGCAATTCTTGACATCAGCTTGTTTTGTTTCAGCTGCATCCAGACAATAACCATGACACCAGCCATTGCCAACAACAGATCTGACACATCGTTACAAGGATAGGCACCACCATTGGTCATATACAACTAGTCCTCAGCTTTTGGACACGTCGTTATGTAAAATAACTACATTTTGGGAACTAGTCCTAGACTGTTACTAGTCTTGGACTAACAGACCAGTGGCCTTGTCTATTCCTGTTCCTTAACTTATTACTCATCTGACACCACAATGCCTCAATGTCAAATATTTAATGATTTTTATAAAAAAAAAAATAAAAAGGAGAAGTGTTTGTTGTGGTTTTAAATTAGTTAATTGCTAATTTCTCCAGGATTCCAATGAGAACTGAAGTCAAAATCTGAACACGTGCCACAGCAAAACCCTAAATAATTGAACGCATATCGCAGGATGATACATTTAACCAGACTCCACAACATTCAGATTTTTATACCAGTCAGCTCTTGCAACATGGTACTTAGAATGTATTCTGTCAAGTACCTTTAGGTTCAGAAGGTACAGCAAAAGCAGCATTAAACCAAACTCACTTAACGGTTGTACATAAAGAATTGAGTGGGAACAGTTGGGTCCCTATTTGGCATAACTGAATCCAATGATTGTGGTTTCGTATCACAAATAATGATTTTCGTTGTCAGTAACGTGTTTGTGCTTATGTTTCACAAAAGTAATCGCCAACCTGCATCATGGCCTTTCCTCCACCATTATGCTCATTGCAATTAATGAAGTGAAGACGAAGAACTATCCTTTGTTGAAACCTACTCAACTAAAAATGTTACACTTCTCATTTAAATAAGAGTATAGGTGCGTGTAGTCCTAACATTTCAAGCTACCACTTCGTTTAACATCACCTACAATTAGATTAGGTAAATAGTTACACCAACCGACAATTTAGTATTTCACATTTAAGCTTAATATTGTGCTTGCAACCATTCAGCCATTACTACACATTTTAAAATAATAATATTTTCTCAATGTAACTCAAATGCAAGATTTTGTTTCTATAACATCCAAATGAGAGCAGTTTTAAGTGTCCTAAGAGTCTAAGCCAAATATCAAACCAAAACCATATGGACTCTTTTAGCATTTATTCTGCACTCATGTGTAGTACATAACATGTTGACAGCGCAAAATCCTTGTTCATCCACAATGTGTCAAAAAGGTAATGTTACATTTTCAAGTTTATGACATGACATCAAGCAATTTATCATTGAAATATCAAAACATTCAAACAATAGACCATTGCACTGTTTCAGATATCAAAGATGAGGTTAAAAACATGTGGAATGCATTAAGTTTTGTGGGGATGAACAAGGATTCAATTTCATACGGCCTTATGAAACTTCTGTACAAAGCAATTTGATAAAAACACTAATCTGAGTAAACGGTGCAAGGAACAAAGTTGAATATCAATTATATATGCAATCCACACAAAAACGTAATATATCCTTAATGGTACTGAGGTATGCCCCTGTTGATCAAACACTAGTGCCTCAAACTCCCCACCCCCCTGTGGCTGAGGAGGCTGAGGGCGCAAGGGGGCGGGGGAGGCTCCGAACAAGACAAGCTAAGTTGAACCAACAGCACCAGTATGTTCCAATATAATACCACAAACAAAAGCACTTTGGGAAAATACAAGTCAAATCCAAACATGATGAACGCTGATTAAAATACATCTAACTGCAGTAAATTGTGTTGTGATTGTGCACCATGCTGATTATACGCATCTAGCTCTAGTTCTCAACCCTTATCTGTAACAGAATTTCTGGCAAACGATAGACCATGGCTCCAGAAACCCTTGGCTTGCTCTCATTTGACACATGACCTAGAAAAATATGCTCAATACTTTGGTTTTAAGACAACAAAATGCATTTGAAAAATCTCATCACATTATGTGGGGAAAATATCACATTAGTGAATAGAAATGATGAAAATATGTATCAACTGCCATACATGTACCTTCCTGAGATCTCAAGTCAAATATTCAATTGGAAACTTGCGTTGCATATCATTATCAGCAAACCACCTACATATACAGAATAACTAGTCAGCTTGAGTATTTCTCGCGTGGTCATAAAATGTCACGAAATTGAGACGGGGTTAAACATTCATAAAAATCAATGCATAAAAAAAACATTAGGATATGTAAAATAGTTTTGAACAAAACTTCTTCAATACTACTTAAAACCAGTCTGTAGCTACATATGGTTCAAAACTAAAACAATCAAAATGAAAGTTGATCAACATGTAACACTCTCCACAGCTATAAATTTCAAATGGAATGATCCAAACAATTTAAATAATAAAGGCATATCTTGGCACAAGAGGTCAAACGAAATAGTAATCTACTCAATAAGTATCAATTTTAAAGATCACGGTATATATATGCATGTTAAAAAAACTATTTGCAACGAAAAACACATTTATGAAAGTCAAACAATGCACGCGAACATGAGAAATTTAAACAAGAACATTTATCAAAAATATGCAATAGTCAATTGGTGATAACATTTATATTTATAGAGTCAATATTCACTTAGGCATGAAATATTATCAATATTACCCTATACAGAACGGGCAGGCCTGGCGAACGTGGGAGTTAACGTGCGGGCGGGTGATCTTCCCTCCAGCGCGAGCGAATTCTGGCCAAGTAGGACTGAGTGTGGGTAGGTGGGTGGAGCCTGTCGTCTTTCGACGCGATTTGGGGAAAGCCTGGCAGCCAGCCGAAACCAGCCAACCAAACGACCGACCAATCAGCACCTCTCACCAACATAGTAGGAGCCTGAATTACTTTAGCAAATTTCAAATCAGTCAATGTCATAAAACAGCAAACGGATTCATTATAAAATGTCATGCACATTCAATGGTATTTTTTCCGCAATATCATCCAAAATAAGACAAACAAAGTATATGAATTTCATGTCATTTCAAAACGATATATAATCTGATGAGAATATCTGTTGATTAAACAAGCAGTTTCAAAATGTACAAACTATCATCTATGACTGGACGGCTTAGAAACATGGTTATTTATTTCAGTAGCAAAATAAATCATCACCTAGAAAAGCTAAGAAGTCTACATCATCAATAAGCACTTTCATGAACATTTCATTATACACATCAAAATAGGGTAGTCATTTTATACTATTCATCATTGAGCAAAAAATAATCCTGATAAAAAGGTATGGAATAGTGCATTTAAGGATTCATGACATTGGGTACGATAGTGAAAACATATCAAGCACGGTCATATATGGGTCATACTACTAGTGTCCTACATTTGTTTATCATCAATACAAAATAAAACGGAAAAACGGGTAAATGAAACAAATCCTAAGTTATGAAATGAACGAGCTAACGCAAGAACGAGTGGAATCATCGGAACCACATCAAGACTACTTTTATGATAATGTCAGGAAATTATCTACACAGGTATCAAATAGTTCCATCATTTAAAACAAATCATAATAGACCATATATATTGACCATGGAAGAAATTCCAACAACTGTTTGCATATTAATGTATGGCAGTAATTCAACATGAAATTCAAATATTTGGCAATTACTGGCTGAGAGAGAACATGAACTGTATTTAACTGTGACTTGGGATTCAAAGGTAATACTGGTGAATAGTTCATACAATACTCTTCAAATGCATAAATTATGTCAATATGTGAAAGCATCAATTTTAAAATAAACATACAATATTTAAAATATGAGCAAGTGCCAAGGCAATGAGACATTTTACGATGTTTCTGTCCAAGCTGGGTTTAAGGTTAGTTTATTTCTCCGACCTTTGGCTGTTACCTATTTATATACAAATTTGACGAGCAATTCGGTCAACCATATACATTTCAACATACCTTACCTTCCGTGCCATGCTGTCAAAAGAAACTCAGTTTCTCGAGTCAATGAACAAGAATATATTTCACTATTTTCATGCATCAAAGAGAACAAGCTTATTTTGCATACAATAAACATTTATTCATAGATGACATGTAACCTATGTCTGCTTCATGTGAACACAATACTTCAGGCATAATTTCCCTTCCTGATCACAAACCAAACTATGTACACGATTAAAAGTGTCAAAACAGCATAAAATAATACTAATGACTGCATATAAAAGCGAGACAACAATGTTATTCACAAATTAAGCCTATACAATGAAAATTCCATCAGCTGTTTTAACATGTAATTTACAAACAAACATGATTACACATAAAAATAAACATTTCCAACCTTCTCACGTGGATTTGGAGGGCCTAGAATAGTAAGTAATGCTGTGACTTAGTCTGTTATTTTAATGTTGGAATGTTGTGTGATACTACGACTTATGAAGCAGATGAAGAAATGACATTGGGCAAGTCTACTATAGCAAGCAAGTATGAAATAAGACGATGTTTCATCATAGAAATAAAGTAATGGAGGTTGATCATACAGGAGACAATGGGACATCAGCACAGCAGCAACTCGTCGCTAGACACCTCCACAGCCCCTGTACAAAAAAACAAAGGCAACCACATTCACATATGCATCAGTAATTGAAAACCTGCCCTACCTATTGTTACACGGAGTACTTACATGTGGTGTGGACTCTAGGCTTTCTCACGGCCAGGGGAGACCAGGTCCGCTTCCAATTGGTTGGACCTGGTTTTGAAACTTGCCCTCACATTTAACATTTATGCCCATGGACACTTTGATGAGAATATGGGTCATATAATTTCCTCAGATATTTACACCAACTTACCCTGGGACATACTTACGTCTACAGGAAATTCTGATATAAAGGCAAGCATTAGATACTTAGCATACAAATGCCGAAAGGTAGTTACCAAGTTCAAGAAAGTTTATAAGATTTTTTTTCATGTAACTAAGAAAAGAACTTTTTTATAATTTGGAATCTCAGCATGTCTTGATGAAAGTAGTAATGCAAGCCTTGTATGCTGCAGAATGTGGTCATCCATGCTGGAAGAAAATGATTTATTAGTTGCTCCATGTGGAGCATATATTTTACCTCTTGCGGAGTGCATGTGCAGCCATCAAGTGGGCGTTGCAGCAACTATTGTTGGGGAGGCTGCTGGCCACCTTGTGCCGCTGCTGCCTGCTGCATGATGAGATTGGCCTGGTAGTGCATACCCTGCTGTCTGTAGTACTCGGCCCAAGCAGAACTGTAATCTGCCTGGCCTGTCTGGGGGTTGATTGCTGTATAAAAATGGACCACAATATACCAAATACATTTACACCTTTTCCCTAC